TTTCCTCCTTATTTCTCCACATTTTTAACATTTGATCCAACCTGATTGTTTAAATCTGATCTGATTACTTCTTATCTCTGGACATCTGACTTTACAAACTTCAAACGTGTAAAAGTTGTGACGCAGCACGTCTCAGATCCACTGAAATGACATCGTATTGAGCTCCACGTGGCCTCCAGACGAGTCATCGCTGATCCTAAGCACCACATTTCAGATTAAATGAAACCCGTGAAGCTCTGCTCATAAATTATCCTGCACAGTCAAACAACGTATTATTAAAATACGGGGACTTTACATTTTCTTAAAGTCTGTTTGGTCACACCGTGTTTGTCATTGCGTTCTGTAAACACTGCTTCACGCTGGGAGGTCCTGCTTGATGAATCTGAGAAACAAAACGACATATTTAAAGAAGTTTGACTAATAGGCGGCTTTAATTAAAGAGCGAGCAACAAATACGTTATTTAATATTACTGTAAAATTATAAATGTCGCTGTTGAGGAAAACCGAGACTGAATTCTGCGTGTTTGCTCCCCTGATGATGAATGGCTGCTCTCTGTGTTTATATACACCGGGGAGCTGTGGATGAATGAGCCCTCGATACCCTGAGGGGCAAATTTCTGTTGCATGAAGTACATACAGAACATAAAGCAAATATTAGGACACGCAAACAACACAGAGGCTGACACAGAGCAGACATAAATACTGAGCCTACTGAGGGCAACGCAGGCGGCTGTGAATGGAAGCTGATGTCATGTTTGATCGTTTAATAACTTCTTGTCATGTTGTCAGCCTGGACGTCAGAAACAGGCCGTAGCTTAGCAGGAAGGAATATCTGTGTGATTTAAAATGTTTTAAACTGATGAGCAAAGTCTGAATGATTTTATATGTTATTATAAAAACTGTCAGCATAATAGTCAGTTTGTATAATAAAGTAAAATTGGACATTTAAACATGAAAAATAGGTCTGGTTTTACCACAGATACAGATATAATTTACAGTATATGTATATTAGCGGGCTGCAAAGTGGAGCAGTGGCTAGTACTGTCGCCTCGCAGTTAGAAGGTCGCGTCCCATTGTAGACACCCGGGATCTTCCTGCGTGGAGTCTCCATGTTCTCCCCGTGCAGCGTGGGTTCTCTCCAGGTTCTCTGGCTTCCTCCCACAGTCCAGAAACATGTTGAGGTTAATTGGTGATTGTAAATTGTCCGTAGGTGTGAATGTGAGTGTGCTTG